ATGGGATTAGTAAAATGACAAAACCTAGACACATCCCAGTGAAACTGTTAAGACAAAAGTCTTAAAAGCATTCAGAGAAATAGTTCGTGAGTTGCTCCCAAATTTCAAGGCATGAGCTTTGAGAAATGACAATCCACCAATCGATCCGTCAACATCCGTGAGATTCTGTTGAGAGGCAGGGCTCAAGCAGCTTCAATCTCACCCTATCTTTAAAAATAAACTTCAAAAGCCAGAAAAACCTTTTATAATGTTATTAAATCGTGGAAGAGATGAAAGCACAGCAAGGATTTACCAGGCAGAGGGAGAGGGACAGGAGACATCGGGAGGTGTGCAGGCAGAAGCCGCTTTTGATTGAGGGCATCTGCTGGTTCCAGAGAATCTGAGTCTCACGTCTGACAGCCTTAGGGTGAAAGGGACACATACTGAGCCCAGAGGCCACAGGACGGAGGGTCTATGGGAATGGAGCCCCAGTACAGGCAGGGATAGTGCACGTCACGCCTTCACAGTGAGAATAAAGCAAAGGGCACAGGCCTGGCCTGGAACTGCTTCCCGTAAATGGCTTGGTTTCTTTGAATGTATTTAAAAGAGCTGTCCATTGGTGTGCTGAGGCACTCAAAGTAGCAAATGCAAATCCTTTCCAAAAAGTAAACCTTCACCATGTACGTAAATGCAATCTATAAGTGACTTTTCATATAATGCTAGATAACCAGCAACAAAAGCAAAATACTCTTTGTGAACAGAAGATGGAAAGGGGAAGAGAGCAGCTGCATAGCCGAGAAGGCTGGAAACACCGCTTTACCCAGATGGTCAAGGTCAACAGCACTAGTGAGCCCCGGCCCCCAGGTCAGTTCTGCCACCAGGCCCGCTGGACGCTCTCCTACAGGCTTGAACCCAAGCCAGGGCACTGAACACTTCTAGGCACTGATAAACGTGTTTAGCTTGTTTCCAGGGACACTGAATTAATCCCATCCCTGAACCAAATAGCTAAGTCCCCATTGAAACTCTACAACCTGACCCCTCACTGTGGACATACATGGGTAGAACGCCGCTCGCTGTCCTTCGAAAGCACCATGTTCCCAGCTCACCTAGGAAGTGCACTGGGCCCATCTCTGGGGTGCTTAGAGAGTCTTTCTCTGGAGTTCCTCCTGACCCCATCTCGTGACAGTCACTTGTGGGAACTTCCTTGCTACGTTCTTGGGGGCAACTCCAGCCATGAGAGGAGCTGGACAGAACAAGCAGTGATGACTCACACTGGGGTCACCGTCCCCCAGCAGGGTGTAATGAGGAGATCACATCCCTGTTAGGGTGTCTTTCATAAAACCTGCAACCCCGGCGGAACCACAAAAAAACCCCATAAAGACAAACCCAAAATGGGAGACGCTCTACCAAAAGCCTGACCAGCATTCTTCAAACTGTCAAGGTCATGAAGGACAAGGGAAGGCAGAGAAACACAAACGGGAAGAGAGCAGAATAGGAAATGCAAGGTGCTGTCCTGGGATGAACCTGGGAACAAGAAGCACATGAATGGAAAAACTCGTGGGGCTGAGAAGTCTGGCGCCATCTACGGCCATAGCACCCTGAGCGCGCCAGATCTCAGCCGAAAAGTCTGGAGTTTGGTTAACAGCAGTGATGTATCAGAATTGGTTTTTCTCATTTTGGGAAAAGCATTGGAGTCAAGCAAGAAGATAAAATCAGAGAGAAATAAAACTGGGTGCAGAGTAGACAGCAGCCCTGTTATGTTATCTTGGCAACTTTTCAGGAACTATAAAGTTATTCCAAAATAAAAAGTTCATTTAAAAATATCTTTGTGAGAGCCAGAAGAAACAACAGAAACCAGAGCCACCAACATTCTACACTGAAAGTATCAGATGCTACTTGTAAAATGTCTTTCGCCTGAGGGGGGCTTTTTATTTAAAAAGAAAGGGATCACCTATAATTATGCAGTGACAAAAGCTTATTCATGGGGATGGGGATCCATGTGGGCAATTGCTATCATGACTTCCATTTAATGTAATACCTGAAGTCCCAGCCAACGCAACAAGGCAAGAAACAGAAGTAATAAATATAAGGATTTGATAGGAATAACGAGACTCATCATTTATAAACCATATAAATTCATTGATATATTCTATAAACCTGTATTTAATTCATAAGAACTAAAAGAGTACAGCATAGTTCAATGTATTTTTAAATCTTAGCAACAGATCACTAGAAAATTGATTTAAAATACACAGTTTATAATAGTATAAAGATGTCAAATGACTATAAAAGAAATCTACCAGAAGTACAAAACCTGCAAAAAGGAAAATACACATTGTATTTAAAAATATTTTGAGGGGCCAGGGATTTAGCTCAGTGGTTCCACCGCCTGCCTCGCAAGCTCAAAGACCCAAGTTCGATCCCCAGTACCAAAATAATAATAATAATATTTTTGAGAAGCTGGGGGTGTAGCTCAGTGGTAGATCAAGAGCCTAGCTGTGCAGGGCCCTGCGTTCAATCCCCAGCATTGCAAAGAAGAAGAAAGAAAATATTTAAAATAAATAACACACTTATATCAATACTGCAAAACTGTCCATTTTCTTGAAATTGTCTCATAGAGGCAATGCAATTGCAGCAAGGTTTTGATGCGGTGATTTGGAAATGCAGAGATCAGAGGAGACACTTTGGAAGGCGAGCAGAAGTTTTGCTCTCCCAGCATCAGGAGTCACAGGGAAGCCGCTGTCACCATGGCAGGGTGACATAGGAGCCAAGCAGAGAAGACAGACACACCCCCTGCCTGATGGTCACTCAGTGAGCAGTCAATGGTGTTCTCAGAAAAGCGGATGAAAATCAAAGTAGAACCTTTAAACTGTCACTCAGATGGGAAACAATTCAGTCTCAGGTAAGACAGGAAATGTGAACAAATTGCTCAGCTAACCTCTGAACGAGTGGAAAACTTGAGGTTAAGTGCTCAGGCCAGGCCTGAGAGAGGTGGTCTGAGAAACCACAGCAGGCTCGTGAAGAAATAAAGGAACACAGGATGCAAAATCCAGGCAGAGTGAATGAATAAGAACAGCTCAAAAAAGACCAGCAGAATGTCCCTGAAGTGTGTAGCACCATACCAGAGCGAAGTGCAGCAAGCTTGAGATGATGAATTAACAAGATACGGCTTGAAGTGGAGCTTGCAGGGCTGGGGAAAGAACTTTAGGTCCCCTCTTGGAAAGAAACACAATCAGTCTCTTTACAATCAGAAATTACAAGAAACAAACTCGTTAAACACTAAATAATTGTCATGGAGGGAAAGTTGGAAGCAACCATTATGAATACAAAGTGAAAAATCAGAAAGAAACTGTTGGTGTTCATGGAACTCGGCAGTAACTTTCTGCATCCACTTACTTATAAAAGTGAGGATACCGCTTAAATTGATAACACAACAGATCTATACTTTTTTTTTTGGTACCAGGGATCAAACTTGGGTCCCTGTGCTTGTGCAGCAGGCGGTGAAACCACTGAGCTAAATCCCCGGCCCAACAGATCTATACTTTAAATTTTAAGTTTTCATAAGACAAAAGTTAAAAGATAAAGAAAATATAGTTTTCCAAGATGTTTAGGAAAGTTAAGGATAAACACCTGAATTACCCTGGCAAAAAAAGAACCAGCAATAGAACAGGGAATTTGAAGAGCAAGAAACAAACAAATAAACAACAACTAAAATAATCAACTGCCCACTTAATCAGGAAAGTACAAGCTTAACACAAGGTGCACCTCCTTTACCCATCACCTTTGCAAAGATTGGGTGGGTGTGTGGAGGTCCATCATCCTGTTCGTGTTTAAGACATACATTGATTCAGTCCCTTTCAAAGGAATCTGGGAGAATCTTATAAACAAGTATATACTATTGTCTTTTGCCTCAATAATTCCACCTTTTCATTGTTTTTGACACAAGACAAATACTTGCATACATACAAAATACCAAAAAGAAGTATGTAAGCAGAGTTATTACAGCTTGTTAATAAAAGCGAACAAGTGAAATAATCTATATGTCCATCTCTACAAGTCCATCAAAGGGGGACTGGCCTAAAAACTGTGGTACACATATAAACACTATGGACTAGTATGAAATGGTTAAAAAGAATGAGGGAGATGTACAGGTATTAAAGTGAAAAAGATCACTAGGTGTCTCATTTTAAAATAAGTAATGCAAAATGCAGACCAGCATGTACAACATCATCCTCTGAAAACAAGATATCTCTGTGTAGCAAGCAAAATATAGTTTTCTTTACATCCCTCTACATTGTTTGAAATTTTATAAATGAGATTGTATTATGTATTTAGTTTGTACTTAAAAACTAAAAATATTAAGTAATGTTATTTCTGATCCCACTATAGGAGAAAATATTGAATTTCTGTCATTTTTTCTCATCAGAGCAATCCCCCCCCTGGACCAGAAAATTAAAGTGAAAATCTAAATCCTCCACCTGTACCAGCCTTTTGCCCTTCTGGGCTTTTCTCTTTCTTCCTTTGATCAAGAGGCCCCGGCGGCCCTGGGACAGCCCCGGAGCTGACCACCAAACATGGCTGGTCTTGGACAGGAAGCAGGCTGCAGCACCAGGGCTTGAAAAGAGGCGGAAAGTTTACCCGGAAGCTCTCTGAGCCAGCATCTCTGACCCCAGCACGGAATGGGGAGGGAGCAGAGGAAATGAGAGCAGTCAGAAGTCAAGCGGAAATAACATATCCCTGCCGCAAAGCACTGCCCTGTCCAGAGTCCCTGGCAGCTGAACAGCAGCTGCAAAACAAGAAAGCCATGCGTTCAGGGACAACTTGAACTTTCACCGACAGCTGAGCTGCTCAGGTTTAAAAGCCCCGTTTCCTCTTTGCCCACGCTGACTTCATTATACCCTAGCTTACTCTTGTGAAGTAGACTGAACTAAAGGAGAGCTGTGGACACTGGTTGAACTCAGGACTCTAAAGCAGCAATACTGCCGGAGGAGGGGAGGATTAAAGGAGGAGGAGAGACTCACCTGGTGCTCAGGTCCCGGCCCCCATCTGCCATCTTCCCTCCCAGCCCTGCCTGGGCCTAGGATGGTGGCCTCCGGTCCCTGTTTCCCTGCCTGAGTCCAGAGTGGCTGCGAGGCATGGAGCAGGAAGTCAGTCGGCCAGCGGAGGAGGCAGGGCTCCGCCCCAGTGGGGAAAACAGAAGTGAAAGTATTTATTCAGTCTCCTCCACTGTCTGCAAAAAACAACTCCCTCCTGCTTCAGGCTCTCACCTTTCCCAGAATGTGGTTGTAGGGGATGAGGAGGGGCCTGATTGTCTGGGCCTGGAGGACAGGGAAGCGGTCCCCAGGGACAAGCAGGACCAGGTCCCGGGAGTCCCCTTGTTTGTGCAGAGACAGAAAAAAGAAAAAAGAAAAAAGAGACCCACGCAAACCCGAACTGTTTTCAGGGCTCCTGCCGGCTAAGAGCGGGGCTTGGTGTGCAGGGGGCAGGAGGACCCAATGTACAGCGGTCCCTAGGCCGAGACAGCTGGGAGTGGGCAGGGGAGGGGGGCGGAAGCCAGAAACTTGCAGTCTTCTGTGAGGCCCGGAGCAGAGCCTGTTCTAAACACAGTTAGGTCCTCACATTCGGACACAGAGCCGAAGAATGCAGCAATGCCCAGCGTTATGACGGGGGAGGGAGGTAATGGTCTCAGAGCTCCTGGAAATCAGCAAGAGGTAAGAGAGAACCCTCCACGCCCCTGGAGCCAGACGTTGAGCCTCCCGAAGGGCAAAAACAATATTTCAGGGGCAGGAGTTTCCGGGTGCCTGGCTGTGGCTGGTTCCCGTAGCCTGGGGTGATGAGGAGACTTCAACCTCAAAGACCCCTCCAGATTCCTGAGATGGGGACTCCGGAGGGGGTAGACGCTTCTCGCAGGGGCAGGATGGAGGTGTGAGCTTGGGTGATCTAGCAATGAAAGCAGAGCGAGGCTCGGTGGGGCCACCTCCACCCCGGGTGATGCCCATGCCTAGACGTTCCTAGTGGCTTCTCAGTCACTGCCCACAAAGCGAGAAGTGACTGGAGGACTTAGTCTGTGCTGGTACAGAGTCAAAGATAAAGAAACAGGAGCAAAAGCGAATGAAAACGGAGCCACAATACACAACCAGGCCCCAGACTCCTGGGCCGAACTGCGGGACAGAGCCAGGGAGGCAGCAGAAGCTCAGGCCTGCAGCGACTCCAGGGTGCACAAAGACAGGAGCTGGGCGGAGGCTGGAGAGGACTTGGGCCTGGATTTGAAATCATGTTCCTTGGAATCCGACTTCTCCCTGCTGTCAGGAAAGGCGCTGCCCAGTGGCATTTGAAACTATGGAGGAAGAGGGTTTCTATCGTCACTCTGCTGCTCTTCCCCTAAAGAAGTGAGCACAGGGGAGGCATCTTTTCCAGTGGACGGGGAAGGGTCACCGCACCCCTACAGGTACTGCATATTCTTTCTCTCTCCCTCTCTCTCCCCCTCCTCCTCTCCCTCTCCCTGTCCCTCTCCCTCAGTTGATGGGCAGAGGGGCTAGTAAACTAAGCCTCTATTTAGCACGGTTCTGCTCTGCTCATGTCCTCCTTGGGACATAGTGGCCCAGGCAAGGCCTTGCACACATTACACCAGCCCGCTCTCATGTCCTCTCTCTCTTCTTCCTTTGCTCCTGGACCACTGCTGACCCGGGCACTGCTTCAGTGTGCCAGCCTTTCCGTGGGTCTGCTAGGATCACAGTTACAATGAGGTCAGTGAGCTGCAGGCCAGGCAGGGAGACCCGCTGTGATCGGCCTTCCCGGGTGGGCACTGCCTCACTAGGGCTGCTCCTGCTGTAGGGAGGAAGGCGCTTATGTCAGAGGGGATTGGAGGCAGCCGAGCATACACGGCCTTGCAAGAGCAATGGCAGTTTTAAGTCTCTGTTGGCCTCTGCGGAAAAAGCAGAAAATGTCAGACACGCCCACCCCAGCGTCAGAGGCAGGGTGAAGTCTAAACTCCTGCTGGACTAATCTGAAGGAAGTAACAGGACCCCCGGGGTCTTTCCATGTGCAAAGAGCACCAGTAGTAAGTGTGTTTTGATGCTCCCATCTGTCCTTTATTTTTTTGACTCTGAGTTGGTTTAGAACTCAGGTGGGGAAAGGGATGAAACTGGGAGGGGCCTCCCACCCCCGAAAGATGTTTAAGCACCCAGGATTGCTGGAGGTGGAAATGTGATTATTCCCAATGCACGGGCAGGGAGTGGGGTGGGCGCGTGGATGGATAGGAAGGGGTTCCCGTGGGAAGGGAGCTCTGGGGCCACTGGAGATCCATCTGGGTCCCTTCTGAGGGTCTGGGACCATCCCCGGGCAACACGCCCGGGACGCCCACAGTCCCGTGCAGCACGAGGAGGGGGAGGCTGCCCAGGGCCACATTCGGGTCCCCGCCCGCCCGCAGCACGTCGCACCCCAGCCCTCCTGTTTAGCCTCTGCTGTGTCTGTCCCCAGGTGAGCAAGTCCTGGTCCCCTGGCTTGCAGCCCATCGATACCACTCGTGCCTTTCCCAGCCCCAGCCGCTGAAGCTGGCCAGACTCGTCCAGGGCATAAGCCAGGAAGGAGCCCTTTACTGGGGCCCCTCTATTTCAGCACCTGAGGTCCCCTCAGCGCGGGCCCAGTACCGCGCTTCCTCCCGAACTTGGCTCCAGGCCAGTCTGCACTCCCCTCTAGTGGCCGATCGCGGCATTGCAGTCTCCTTTCGCCCGGGTTCCGAGGTCCTTCAGAGGAAGCAGAAACCGAAAATCCTCTTCTTGCTCAGAAACTGCCTAAATACCTTTACGTTTAAGTAAGCTCTGTTATTTCCTTCTAAAGAAAGGCGAACCGATTTAAAGAGTGGGCTCTGGGATGGTTTTAATATTCGACAGCCCGTGAGCATAAACCGAGTTCAGACCTGGACTAACCCTGCCGTCGCCCCCGTACCGCTCCCCAAAAGCCGCATTCCGGGGTCACCAGGGCGGGGAGCACCTTCCTTCTCCAGCTCCCTGCAGGCTGAAACCCCAAACCTGCCTGCCGCCTTCACCCGGGCCCTGTGGGTTAACCCTGAGAGCCCGTGCAGGCAGTTTGATTACTGTAAATCACTCCGTGGCAATGTAAAGCCTTTCTACACACCAAGCACACTACAAAATACACGGCAGGCATGGGATGAGGCTTTTAGCGGAGAGACCAGAGGGCTTCACACCCTCGAGATGGTCCGGAAATGCCCTCGCTCAGCTACGCCTCACACCTCTCCGGCCTGGGTGGCCTTCATTTCCGCCAGCGTTCAGGGTCCTCCACCCCCACAAGGTCTTGGACTCCAGATCCTTAGCTTCACTCAGCTGTTGCAGACGTAGAGCCCGACCTCCTTGACCGGAGAACGGCCCTCCACAGAGCTCCTCACTGTGTCTCAGGGGATTCCTGGCGGGGCCCTGCACCTTCCCAAGTAGGCCCACCTGCTGCCTGCTTAGAGCGGTGGGTCAGGCAGCGCCTCTCCCCCAAGGGTGGCGAAGGCGGCAGGTGTCACACCCTCCTCAGAGAGGGGAAAGGGTGTCCCTTCCTGGTTGTGGTCCACTGGGGTCCCATGGGGAGCCGTAGAGTGTAGTGTCTATGGAGCTGGGGACCACAGCAGCAGAGGAACAGTGTGGCTGGGGACAGACCAGAGCAGAGCGCGCCTAGAGCCCACAATGGCCCGGATGAACCAGCAAGCCTTTCGCAGCACGGCCACTCCTAACGGGCCTGCGAAGCCTGCCATGTCTGTTACTATGCTATTGTGCGTGGTTAACTGGAACGGCCCCCGACTGTCCTGAATCCTAGGACTCCCAGCTCAAGCCTGTGTGGTGAGAGAAGGTGAGCACCCTGAGGCAGTCTCAGTGGCCTGCACCCAGCACGTGGAATCAGCCCATCACATCAGCTTGCAAGTTGATGCTTCCCTCAGGTGGAAGCCCCAAAGCACGGACAGAATAAAGAAATGGTGAAGGAAAGGGTAGCTTTGTAGACTTGGTGGTTACAAGACAGGAAATGGGTTGTCCAACCATAGAAAGAGGCTTAGTCCAACGTCCGAACACAGAGGACTTGGTGTATTTCTAGCAAGGGTTTTAGGGGAACTTGAAAATGAAATCTGCTGAGCCCCCTCAGGGCCTCTGAAACAGGTGTGGCACCCTTGCCTGGTGCACGTGTTTCTTGTGGATATACTTGCTATGCCCATGAAGCAAGCAGGCAGCACAATAGCACAGGGACCCCCTGGGTCTGGCTGGCTCACTAAGGGGCCCTGGGAACACATAGGAGTGGCCCCTGGGCTCCCGGGGCATCCTGGTGCCCTGCTTTGCTGAACGTCCTGTGTCTCAACTTGTAATGGGCTTCACCAGGTGCAGGCAGGCCCCAAAGCTGCCAGGTGGAGCTGTTCTTTGGGAACAGCGCCCGCCGAGGTCTCCTGGTACAATGGCTTTTTGGGAAAAATGCTTGGCACAGTTACGCTGGCTCTCAAAACAACAACACTGATGTTGAAACCTGCCCATCTCGCTTGATACTGATCTGTTTCGTTGGGGCATGAAAGGAAGGAAGGGTAAGTTCTCTGAGATCAGAGGCCATTTTGGCAGCCACTAAGCACGAGAGCATGACTGGTGGCCTCAGTCTGCTAGATGACAGCGTCTCCTGAGAGAATGGAGACCCCTCAGCACTCCTCACACATACTGTCTGTGGGCTATAACTCCCTGTCCCATGAAAAACTCCAGGCCATGTTCAGCCCATGGTACAGCCATGGTATCCAAGGGCTTGGATTCCAGTTGAGCTATCAGGGTGATAATGGTAACCTTGAACTTTGCCTATAAGAACTAAGTGCTGAAGTTGGGTCCTTACCAGGTGGGTCTTGGCTTTACCATTTTTCATCCAGACAATGGCACAATGCGGAAACCCAGGGGCTACTTCTTGTATTTCTTGGATAAAGACAAAGCAAAAATAACCAGCCAGCTCCTGCACAGAACTCCAGGGCACACAAGACTTTGCAAAAACTGCTAAGAACAGACATGTTTGGGGGCATGTAGGGCATGCAGGCTTAATCCCTTTCTCAGAGACCTATAGGAGTGGTTACAGACCCAGGGAGAGCCAGCAACTATTACAGACCAGAGAATCTGAATGGAAGTGTTATGGGCATGTCTAGAGGCACCGGATTAATTAACTGTTCAGGAGCACCCTGTGTCTGTCTGGGTCTAGATTGACTTGCCTGGCAGCAAATGACTCATGTGGTTAGGATCAGCCTGCAGTCTCACCTACGCTGGGCCGAGCTCAGCCCTGGGTTCAGATGTGTTTCACTTTGCCTGGGTATCCTCAGAGGTGTGGGAAGGGTTTAAGCCTAGAATTCAGATTCCTTTCTATGGCTTTCTCTTTTCTGGCATCTCCCCTTACTTCCCAGAATGCCCGGCTGCTGTGAGCTTTTCCCCTGGCTCTGTGTACCAGGAAGAAATGTTTTCATCAATGTTTCATTTTCAGCTGTTGTAGCACGACTAGCTGCTCCCAGGACCAGGCAATAGGAAACAGGAAGCTGCTCCCTCCCTTGCTGCTTTCTGAGTTTGGGCTTCTCCTGGAGTCCACCTACTTTTGTTCTCTTCTCACAGGCCCCAGGCAGTTGACAATAGATCCAGGGCTTCTAGCTGTTGTGTTGGTTAGGAGCAGGGCTCCCTGTCTCACTCCACAGTGGACCAGCCCTGAGCCCTTCCACACCAAGCCTGGTCCTGGGACACCTGTGGTTCCAGGCAGATCCCTTCTCAGCTGAGGAGCAGAAATGCCTCTGCCTAGGGGCATCAGACCCTTGCTAGGAGATTTGAGGAACGACACACCTTCTACTTTTGTGTCCATGAGAGTGCATCTGTTTCAGTAAAGCAAGTAACAGAGTAAACAATATGCTTGGGGAAAAGACATGGACTATGCTAGGATTTCAGTTGAGATAATACAAACCTTCTAGACATACCACACATACCGGATGCTGCTGAGAAGCCCAAAGGTTTTTCTTCTGTGTTAAAGAGGAGATGGAGTTAGTATCTGATAGTATTTTGCTTGCCAAGGTATTGAACCCCACCTTCTTTCTGCCTCCTTCCTGCTCTGACTTCCCTCAGCATCTAAGAAGGAAATCCCATGGCTTCCTGAAAATAAGACCTAGCCAGAAAATAGCCTTGAAAACTTGAGATCAAAGATCCAGTCCCAGTCAGCCTTGCCTCACTGCCATCACTGTTCACTTGCTCAGTGGCTCCTCTGTAAGGCAGGTCAGGCAAGGACAGGCTGATTGGGGCTGTCATCTTTGACCTCTAGATTTTAAGGCTGATTGTTTTGTGGCTAGGTCTTATTTTGGGGGAAACAGGGTGGCACCTGGCCAAGTATCTGTGAGAGTTTGGCCTAACAAGCACCACAGTCAAGGCAAGTTCATTTCCTGGGTCCTGACTCTGGGACCTTGTGCAGCCTCCCCGGGCCATGTATCCAGCTTGGTCACCCAAGAACAACTGGGAAGCTCCATCTCCCCTCCTGAAAGAAAGAAAGTGCAAGTTCTCAGTCCGGCAGAAGTGTGTGCTGGCTCCTGAGCAAGAGCAATGGGAAGTTCAGGCTGAGGGGTTGTTTCCAAGAGCTCATGACCTTGAAGCTCAGGACAAGAGTGGCAGGTAATCCAGCAGCTCCCAGGGACACCAGCACACTCCATCAAGGGCAGGAACCCAGCTGGGCCCCACAGTGTCTCAGCAACACCCCCCCCCCCCGAGTCCGGGTAAACATGACTGACAGACATAGTTTCTTTCCTTCCTTGCCCATGACTCCCAAGTCGGGTAGGGTGGACACCTTGTCTTCTAGAACAACAGCCAACTCATTGACTAACTCAGCCTATGCCTCCATGGGACAGGGCCATGTCTAGTAGACTCAGGGAACTCTGCCCCCCAGCCCTGCGCTCCTCTGGCTGGCCTGGAGTTGCCCTGTCCCTCCATGGACACCGGGGATCCACACCCAGGGGCACTTCGTTGCTTCCTCGTTCAGCCATGTTTTTCCGTGGCTGCTCCGCCCCCTCCATCCCCCTTTCCCAGCAGCGCCTGGTTCCTTTGGGTGAATGACCTCCCCCCTTAGGTACAGGAGTAGAGGGACTGTCCATTGCCGTGCTTGAGCAACCCAGGGCAGCCAGGGAAGTTGGACTCTGGAGTGAATGGTGGTGAAGAATTAAAAATGACATTCCAGTTGGTAGCTATTCATTAACATCTTTAACGAGAGGACTCAATACTCTCTGATGCCAATTCCTGTAGTTACTGTGGCTCTTGCCCTGGGTCCTGGCTGTTTGCCAGTTCGGAGCTGCTGATCCTGCCCTTTCTGTGAGCCACCAGGAATTTCATCACTGGAGTCCCTTTTCCTCTACTGCAGAGAAACTGGTCTCTCTTGATGGCCAAGACCCCTGACTGACACAGATTTCACCTTTGCTTATTATTTATGTACTATGCATGTACAGACATTTTTTAAAATGCATAATAAACGTTAATCCATTAATCCTAACAATAATCTAATGAGCTGCTTCTCCTTCTAGGATCTCCCTTACAGGGATGACACCAGAGCCGAGAGAGGATAAGTAACAGGTCCAAGGAACACAGCCAGCATGTGGACAGCTGTGTACGTGGAGTGACCTCAGAGTCTGCCCGTGGTGCCGCCCAGGGCCTGTCCAATTGCGTCACGCTGAGAGGCCTCTGCATCATTTGCATTTAAGGCAGATGGAATTTGGGGTGGGGCAGAGGGATTCTTTTGAAAGCCTGGTGGGTTCAGGGCCATCTGGAGTTCAAAGCTGTCATGTGCATCTACCTTAGCAGCCAGTCCCATTTGGAGTTTCAGGGCTCTGGTTGGCCTAAGAGACCATCTAAGCTTAGATTCAGTCTTCTCTGGAGTTCTGCCATTCTTAAAATCAGGACCCAAGACAGGTGCACACTGCTGTCTGCCTTCCAGCTGCAGACATGTGGGTTTCTGCTTTAGGCAGGTGCTCGATAGTTCTAAACTGGTCATTTACTTTTATTAATACATTAGTAGCACTCAACGATAGTCACCAAACCCACAGTTCTTATACATAGTTACTGTTTCTCTCTTCAATTGCCCTAGCTACTCTACCTTTTTGCCTGTAGCTCATCTGGTTTTCTGCAGGTGAAAATTTGGCATCCAGGGACGATTGATAATCTACCTAACATCAGGGACCCAACTTCAGAATCACATCCTTAGAGTTTGCTTTCTAGGGCCATGATTTTAGGGTGCATTCCTTAGAAGCAGATCAGAGATGAAATCTCTTAAGCTGGTTATTTATTGCTAGTTCTCTCAGGAGAAGGGTAAAGGGAAGCAACATAATATGGTGGTATTTCCTTGTCTCCTTTTTGCCTAGTTTTTATTTCTTCTGTCCTAACTCCAAGTGATTCAGAAAGTCTTCAGGGATGGTGGAATTAGTAGACAACACCCACTGCATTTGGAGGTGGGATGACCTGGCCAGAAAAGATTGTTCCAGGACACCAAGAATATCTTCTGCACCAGTCAACTGTTCTCATCTGTTTCCTGAATAACAAACACTTCCCTGATGTTCTTCTCAAATTCAGCCTCCAGTCTGAGTCCCATTTGGCTAAACTCATGGTACTGGAAACAAAATAATAAAGACAAAATAGTGATGTTGATTATCAGTGTCGCCAAGCAATTATCTCATGATAATTGAGAATGATCATCACTCTCTCTTAGCTACTCTGAGTTCACTAAACAGGTTAAACTTGAAAACTCACACAGCTAAGAGTGAATTTTGTACCCCCACAAGCATATTTCTAGTTAACTGGACAGAAATGTGAAGTCATTATCACAGTTAGGGACCTTTACTTATTTGGCTTTGGTTATTTCAATGAGCACCGGAAAAGTAATCTGGTCTTTGTATCAACTCAGATAGAGGAAGTGCATAAGGTGAGATCGATGATGTTTTCCTTCCTCGTCACCTCTGTTCCTCTCTGGTGACCCTGGTTAACTATGTGGTCCATGCACAGGTGACAGACCTGGAGTTTGGGATGTCTATAGTAGGACATGGGGACGGGGACTACGCTCTCTCCTGTGGGTGCTCAGGAGCAGGAAGGACTTGGCTGTTCTCCACATGCCCCTGCCGGAGGGGAGAGGACTGAGCTCTTGAGGGCCTTTCTGGTTATAATGATATCTTCCGACTCACTGTTTCTTAAGTCTTAAACTGAAAACACCATTCGCTTCCAGAACCTTTGCTGTGCAGGTTTGTTCCAGGTAGATAAGAGAAACCAGACTTTCCAGGTACCAGGCACGGAGACCCAGTGAAAAGAAACTGATTTGGAAGCGGAGACAGAAAGCTGCTTACCTTGTACGAGGTCCTGCGGTTCTGGAAAATGAGGCTCATGTCCTGCACAAACCCTTCCACTTGGGCGTAATTCTTCTTATTTAACTTTCCCTTATCTTGTCCAACCACATGAGTTCCTTTGGAACTTCAGAAGTCTCCTTAACCTGAAGACAAAAATACCAATGGGAGGGCTAAGTTCCATGCTTACCTTCTATAGATTCCCATAGAATCCAACAGAAATGCAAAACAAGAGCACAGATCCTGCACTTGTACCCCCAGGAGATGAAGCTCAAACCCCACAAGTGTCCATCAGAGTCACACAGCATCATGGCAGCCCATGATTGTGGTTCATTGCTGTTACTTATGCAATAATGATATGGAATTTTGGCAAAAAAGGAGCTCTCAGAACAGCAGTAGACTTTCAAGAGGAGAAACTCACATTTTTGCAAGAGAAAGGGACTGTCGGTGAAAAGCAGGTTGGAAAGGAGCCCATATGCAATCCTAGACAGAATCCCAACTCAGCTCATCTTCTGGAAGTTTCCCCAAACATGTAGCTCTTGGAAACAAACATGTACTAGCTTGTTATTTTTTTTTCTCCTGCAAGCAGGTTTTGTTGTGATACCAACATGACAGAAGCATGGCTTGGAAGAGCAGGCTCCCTTTGAGTACCATTTCCCTGACCCAGGGCCCGTTTGTGCTTTTTAGAAGAGAAGGGAAAGGAGAAGACTTAAGGTTCCCAATGACTCACCAACTGTTCCTCAGCCTGCATCTGCCTCTCCAGGATCTCAGATTCCTGATAACACTGTTGGCTTCTGAAGGACTCCATCCTGCAGAAGATGCAACTCCACAGGTTGCTGAGAAGTTGGATGTAAGGTGAGCAAAGGTCAAGATCCCTGGAATCAGCTGCCACTGCCCTCTTTTCAGGAATGGCTGATGGGCTCAGCTGTGGGGAAGGAGGGACTTCCAGAGTGTCCAAGACCCCTACGTGTGACCTTGAGCTGCCAGCATCCCTCTCATCAATGGGGGCAGCAGGTGGTCAGTCCTTAGAAATGGAGTCATGGTGAGTAGCAAACCCTCTTTTCCCCATCAGAAGTGCTGGGAACAAACGTGAGTAGCCCAGCAGCAGGACACTCGGCTTTAACCCCTGGGGATCTTGGGCCTCTATCAGCCCATGGAAACCTGGTGTAATGTGGGAATCAGTCATGCTTTCTTCTTTCTTGAATAAGCACAGAACAAAAACAACTGATGTTTCCCATTCTCAATCCCTTGGACAGGAGTCCTTGCTGCAAAACTTTGTACAGGGAAAAGGCCCCAGTCACCAGCCTTCACATCCCAAAGGAGATGTCTCTGATAGCACAAAGGACACGAACTACCTGCCGCCAGCATCATCAAACTGCTTTCTGGATCATACTGCTGTATCTCAGTCCCTAAGAACACCCGGAGGTTTCCCCAAATGTGTGTGGCTCTTGGAAACAGACATGTGATGGCTGGGTTGTTTTTTTTCTTCCTCTATTGAGACACAGACAGGAACTCTACAGGAGGAGTGTGCACAGCAGGAGGAAGGACCCCTAGGAGAAGAGAGAGGTGATATCACGCACCTCTCAGCTTCCACAGGTGGGAGGTGACAGTAGTCATGGAAGGCGACAGTAGTCATGGAAGGCTCTGGAGCAAGTGTTGCAGCAGAACAGTGTCCCCCCATCCCTGCACACCTCACATTCATTTGAGTTCCTCAGCTAGAAGATAAAACGACATCCACATCACCGGGATCAGTAAGACTCCACAAGGCTTACACTGTAGGAATCCAGAACCATGGGCTTTGCATGAGCCTGCATGGACACACACATACACTCCTTCTGGGGTGTTAAGGGTCACCATGGAGCAGAGATTTAAGAACAAGACATTCAGGCCTGGGCCTGTGGCAGTGCCTCTTGGGTACAAATAACCAGGCGGTGCAAGGCAGGGTAGAGCTCTTTAGCTCAGGGATCCTGTGGCAGGACCCCAGGACTCAGCTTGTCAGGTGTGGAGGTGCCATCTCTCACGTCCAGGGTGTGTAGGCATAGCGAGTGCCCGGGGTTGAAGACCAAGTCCCCACCCTTGTTTCCTGGGACCATTAAAGAGTTGGAGCTTTACTTTCAAAAGAATGGAGAAGTGCCCCCAAATCAACAAACAGGAGATTCCTCACCGCTCTCAATATGTAGGGTCTTTAGCCAAATTTAATTTTCATCTGGAGAGGACAAAGTTTGACAGGATTTACATCCAAGTGTTGTGTCCTGTTCATTCAGACAGAGTTTATAGAGCAAATAAAGAGACCAATCCATGTCCACTCCATGACACACAAATACACGTGTATCCACAAAGAGGAACTGGTGTGTGGCAGAGTTCACTGCTGTGTGAGGGAAACGTGGTAGATAAGGCTGAAATGAAACCTCAGTGTTCTATGCTAACTGGGCATCTGGTAAAAGTGGAAGCCCCCCCCACCCCAGGGCCGGGGATTTAGCCCAGTGGTTCTGTCGCCTGCCTTGCAAGCACAAGGACCCGGGTTCGATCCTCGGTACCAAAAAAAAAAAAAAAAAAGTGGAAGGCCCTAGACTGGCTTACCCATACATTTCCCTTCTTGCTCTGTTCCTTCGGGTAAAGTCCCCTAACTGGATACTTCTTGTCCAGGGGATTATGTGCAACTTCTACTTATCCTTGAAGAGCAGGTTTCAATTCCCTGCCAGCCACAGAAATAGTCAAACTAGAGTCAATCACAACCTCCTCAGGAGCCAGTGTGTGCCTGCCTGCCCAGCCCCAGTTTGTTCTGTTCTCCCCTGTGGGGCTGGGGTGTGTGTGATGGCTCAGGGCTAGCAGTGTATGTGACTAACAAACTACTGTCAGTCACATCTGTCCAAGTGTCAGAGGTCATGTGTTTGACCATCCATCCCTGAAACTCTAGGGTGGGAATCCTTCCCTTACTGTCAGAATTAAGAGGAAAACAGGAAGCAGGGTTGGTTGGGTTTTCCTGTGATAATCAGAATTACCACGTAAATCAGAAAATATATCAGTGATGTGTGTGCAGGAACACGGGCTCTCCTGGCCCTATCTTCTGTGAAAGAATGGAAACCATTTGAGAACTGAGTAGTAGTAGTTCTGCTCCCACATAGAAACACCCTGCCTCCCCTAGGGTTAGTGGAGGAATCCCTGCCTTTCTATGGCATCTGAAGAGAGATTGGCCTGGGAACCGACTTGCCGATTGATGAGTAGCAGGCAGAGGAGAAAAGCAGGTGGAAGCAAGGATGACGGGGTCAACCTGTCTCTACCATGGACCATTGCTGTCTCCTCAAATGGCATCTGGCTTGTGCCATTGTTCCCTCTGTTTACGCCATCAGCTTCATGGCCATACCACCGTCCTTTCCAAACTTTAAAGGATAGAATTCCACAGTTTTCTTATTCTTGGCCTGGATCACCAAAATCACTCTCAAAGCTGCAGTTGTGCCTTTATGTCCTCAGTTCCTAGTATCTCTTCTACTCACATGCACACTCCTATGTTCACCTGTATCTCCTCCCAGGCTCCAGAAGCCCAACTCAAACTCATCCTGTCAAAATTTAGCTTCTCCTCCTGCCCCAACCTGAAGTCCCCAAGATGTGCTTTCTTGGTGCTTCTATTTAATAAAACATGCACCATCCAACACAAACCTGAGAATCCAGCCTGGTCCTACCCTTTCTCTCAACTCCCAAATCCAGCCCATCCCCAGGCCTATGATTTTTAATTTCTAAGCTTCTTTTAGCATTCACTTTGTTCCAGCAAGATCCACTTGACACAAGGATGCTGAGATCCTAATGAACAGTTCCACTTCAATTAATTAATTTAACAAAACAGTCTGAAGGTCTGTATTTTACCTAGGCTAATGACACACAAAGATCAGAAATGTTTTTAAGGGCTAATGGACCAAAGTAATTGGGAACACATCTATGTTATTTCTGAGTGTGAAAAGTAATCAAAGACGAGAAGACAATAATTAGTCATCATTTTTGAGAATTATTTTGGGCTTCGGGGTAAAAATACTTTTAAGTGAATTGAGATCTTGGTCATTTATTTTGCTTTTAAAAAATGGGCATAGTACGGGCTCCCAGAAACTTTTGCCAAAGGATCCCACTCAATACCACGCGGGATTTTTAAGCACAACCCCAACTGGAGAAGGTGACTGCTGGGCAGGGCCATTTTTCCTTCCATCAGCACAGGCACTCATGGGTACCATCATTGCTGTCAAGAAAGTTCCAGAAAAAATAAAGAAATAGCAAAGGTAACAAGTGATTAAGAATCTTGCATCTTTAATCTTTTAGTAAGAGATTT